TTTCAAGTCTTTATTTTCTGTAGTATAGCACCTTTGTAGCCCTGGTGTTGCAGACTGGCTTCCACGACAATGTCGTCCTTGTTGACACTCAGTGGCGGGCAGGGAGCATGGGTGCTGAATCCTATTAATTTCACACAACACACTCAGTCTGGTTCATCAAAGACTTTCAAATGTCGACATGTGGACTCTGTTTCTTCTTTTAAAGAAACAGTACCTCAAAATGATGGTTCCTGGCCGAGGTTCTTAGTTATAACATCTGCTGATGGTAACCCATTACAATTTATGGCGTCTTTTAGGCTTTTAAAGATTCGATAGATGGATCACGTTTTGAGGATGATTTTAACATGTCTTGTCGTAGTAAGAATATGCGAACAATAGAAAGACAATCACAATCATCGTGTCTAAATAAAATACATAAACGGTTTTAAATTTTAAAACTCTGAAAGAAATTGTATTCACTTTTGTAGAAAATACAAACCTCATGGAGACTCAGAATTACTTTTGGGTTGCAATCCTATTAGGGTTGTCAACGACGCAAAGTTCTTGGGTATAGTTATTGACAGCCATTTGACCTTTTCACCAAACATTTTAAAAATAGATGGCTGAAGGCTCTTGATTTACTGAGAGTTTGGACCAGACAATCCAGTGATTAATATCATGAGCATCGATTCACGCAATTGGGACCGATGACGTGCATTAACCAAATCAGCGAGCCTGACCACCCGATCCCGTTTTTACGACAAGCATAGTCACCTTTTACGGCAACATGGGTTGCTGAAGACCTATTCTACCCCTGAATCTTCACGGGTCTCTCCAGTCAGTAGACGATATGTGGAAGCTGGTGAGTCATCCTTGAAGCAACGTCGCATATAATTAGCCTTGCAATTTGTTACAAAAAATTACTCTAATCAATTTAATCCTGCATATTACTGTTTTTTTCACCCTTCGTATGAGGACTTGTACAATTGAAAATCATCCCTTATTCCATCTCTGGCAATAAAACCTACCATTTCTGATGCTAATATTAACCTTACAATTATATCTCCGACTCCGAATTTGTCTTCACCATGGCAGTTCGTAAAGCCAGATGTATACCTAACATCAAATAAACTAAAGAAATCAGAAACGAACCAATTAAGTTATCAGCAACAACATAATGAATTAAGAAACACATATGATACTTACAAATCTGTATTTACAAATGGATGCAAGGATGGTGAGTCTGTTGCTTGCGTCACTGTCATTGGGTCAAGGACTATCTCATCCAGATCATCTTATAACTGTTCTATTTTTATACAACAGAATCAAATGCCATTTTAACAGCACTAATGCATATGAGTAAACAGTCAAAATATAAGAAGTCTATAACATTCACAGATTCACTTTCGTTCCTACAGGCTATTCCTAACATGTCATATAAGCATCCACTTTTGATCGGACCCGTGAAGATCCGGGATAGAATAGGTCTTCAGCAACCCATTCTTGCCTTAAAAGGCGACTACGCTTGTCGTAAGAGGCGAGTAACGGGATCGGGTGGTCAGGCCCGCTGACCCGTTGATGCATTTCATCGATCCCAAGTGCGTGGATCGATGCTCATGATATTAATCACTGGATTGTCTGGTCCAGACTAGATTATTTACAGACCGGTGTCATATGGTTGGAATATTGCTGAGTGCTGCGTTAAACAACAAACAAACCAACCAAATCATAACATGTCATATGAGCATTTACTTTTGATCGACATCTTTTGATCAGTTACACCTGCTTGTGTTGTCAGTCCAGATTGGAAGAGGTCATAATACGACGATATTGGCAGATAAACACATGGATATTTGTTGAAAGGTGAGGATCCTCCATTGTGTACCCCTTGTGATCAGAGAATCACACAGTCAAGCATGTTCTGCTTGACTGTGTCGACATTGCCATCACAAGGGATACATATTTCAAATCATCATCTGTCATGGATTTTTTTAATATTATTAGTTCTCATTTAACTACTGTTTTTAAAGGAGATTGAATTGTTTGGAAAAAAAGATTAATATGTATTGTGAGAAATCTAAATGTCGTTTTAAAATTGGTAGATTAAATTTGCAAATGAGATTGTTAGTGGCTGTATTCTTGAAGGGGGTTAAAGTACAGACAAATTATGTAAAAGTACACTTAGGCCTTCGCCCTTTTAATCGTAGTATATTTATTAGTTTTAATTGATAGCTAAAATTGACTGCAATCACCGGCGGCTGATGGGTTGGTGTAAATCCTGCTGGGGAACCGTGCAGGAAGCGAAGTATCGTCCCCACGGTCCCTAGTAGGGTGGCTTAGCTTTGGGTGCTGGCGATCTCCAGCTCGTTTTTATCATGTTTTGTTATGTATAGTGATATCGTTTTATAATTTCATACTAGTTTTAAATACATCTGTGGTACTCTAGTTATATTTTGCTGTCCTTTGCTGACAGCTTTTTAGAAAGTCTAAACATATGTCGTATTGATGTCTAACAAGTTGTAGGAGGCACGGGTGGCCCAGTCGTCTAAGGCGCCGCGATTCGCTGTGCAGAGTTGCGTCCCTTGGGCACGCCAGAAACCTATGATTGTTGGTTCGAATCCCGGTTCGCCCCAATTATGTTTCTAGGTTTGATAGAACCATACCCGTGCTCTTGGGTTTCACCGAAGTGGTAAACGTCTGAGACCTGCATCACTTCGGGCTTTCCTCCCACATCAAGCTGACACGCCGCGATATAACTGGAATACCGTTAAAAGCGGCGTTTCATCCAACTCAGTCACTCACTAAAAAGTTGTAGTCGCGAAATGGCTGAAATACTGCCGATGTGAAAATATATTTTAACTCACTGATATCATCTGAGGAAGTTGTTGAGCAGTGCTGCTTCAAGGCATCTCGGTCATACAATAGAAGCATTTATTAAACGGACAAAGCGTGTTTCACCTTAGCTTTATATCCACACCCATGTATACAGGATGTCATGTAAAATCAAATTATGGCATGCGTCAAGGACCGTTCACTGAAACGTTTTTGTAACATCGTATCTGCTTTCATTTTCATTTACTTTCATTTACCCGTGTTTTTCAGGTGAACAAGTGAAGGTTACTAAGGACACGTGAATATTACATGGGGCACATGTAGGTTGCAGGGGACACGTGTAGGTTACCTGGGACACGTGAATACTACAGGGGACACCTGTAGGTTACTGGGGACACGTGAATATTACAGGGGGCACATGTAGGTCACTGGGGACACGTGAATATTATAGGGGACAGATGTAGGTTTCAAGGGACACGTGAATAGTATGGCGGCACATGTAGGGTACGGGAGACACGTGTAGGTTGCAGGGGATACGTGTAGGTTACTGGGGACACGTGAATATTATAGCGGGCACATGCAGGTTGCAGTGGACACGTGTAGGTTGCAGTGGACACGTGTAGGTTGCAGGGGATACGTGTAGGTTACTGGGGACACGTGAATATTATAGCGGGCACATGCAGGTTGCAGTGGACACGTGTAGGTTGCAGGGGATACGTGTAGGTTACTGGGGACACGTGAATATTATAGCGGGCACATGTAGGTTACTGGGGACACGTATAGGTTACCTGGGACACGTGAGTACTACAGGGGACACCTGTAGGTTACTAGGGACACGTGAATATTACAGGGGGTACATGTAGGTTACTGGGGACACGTGAATATTATGGCGGCAATGTAGGTTACTGGGGACACGTGTAGGTTGCAGGGGATACGTGTAGGTTACTTGGGACACGTGAATATTACAGGGGGCACATGTAGGTTACTGGGGAAACGTGTAGGTTACTGGGGACAAGTGTAGATTACTAAGGACACGTGAATACTACAGGGGGCATATGTAGGTTACTGGGGACACGTGTAGGTTGCAGGAGACACGTGTAGGTTACTGGGGACACGGGTAGGTTACTGGGGACACGTGTAGGTTACTAGGGACACGTGAATATTACAGGGGACACATGTAGGTTACTGGGGGCACATGCAGGTTACTGGGGACACGCGTAGGTTGCAGGGGACAGGTGTAGGTTACTGGGGACACGTGTATGTTACTAGGAACACGTGAATATTACAGGGGGCACATAAAGGTTACTGGGGACACGTGTAGGTTACTGGGGACCTTGGAACACGTGAATATTACAGGGGGCACATGTTTGTTGCAGGGGACACGTGTAGGTTACTAGGGACACGTGAATACAACAGGGAACACATGTGGGTTACTGGGGACACGTGAATATTACAGGAGCCATGTGTAGGTTACTAGGGACACGTGTAGGTTACAAGGTGCACGTGTAGGCTACCGGGGACACGTGTTTGTTACTAGGCACACGTGTATGTTACTGCATGGAGACACATGTAGGTTACTGGGGGCGCGTGAAGGTTACAATGGACACGTATAGGTTACTTGGGACAAGTGCATGTTGTTAGGGGCAGGGTGTGAAGTGCACCAATGTGACGTTCACCTCATCCTTGGTTATTCAGGGTACTATGTCTCCAGCCCGGTCTGGTATTCGTTTAGGAAGTGACGTCACCCTCTCGATCTTTTTGCTCAATATGCCGAGAAGATATTTTGATTGTTTGGCTATTCCGTGTCATTCGATTTGGGGTTAAATGAAGCAGTTTTAGCTGCCAGGTTTAGGGAATGTTCAAGAAAGGACATTTTGCATCCCAGCATTGTCATAACTCTGGGCAACAGAGGCTGATTTTATCATGTGTGCTTAGTTCCTCGCACTCATTTTACCTGCTATACCGCTGAAGTCACATTAATGATATACGAATACTACACAACTGTAGGATATACATGGACACAACTGTAGGATATACATGGACACAACTGCAAGATACACATGGAGACAACTGTAGGATATACATTGGCACAACTGTAGGATTTACATTGACACAACTGTAGGATATACATGGACACAACTGCAAGATATACATGGAGCCAACTGTAGGATACACATGGGCACAGCTGTAGGCCTGTACATTACTCTACTTGCTCACCAAAAGCCACGGAGTTGTTTTCTTTTTGCGTCGTCTAACTGTGTGTACATAGACTGCCACTCCACGCGACCTGGTAGGTCACTTATCCCTGTGTTGACCCAGATTTCTAGACTCAGTATAATGGCGGACTATATTATCAGAGATGCCCGAGTTGAAGATTGTGGCGAGATATTCCTAATGTTAAAGGTGAGATTTTTAAGGTGATTGACCGAATGGAGGGTTTCGGAATTGAATTGAATAGAACAAGTGGTGACAACTGTGATTGTACCTCGTTTGCATCGAGACATTAAATTGTCAGTGCGGATCACCTTGTTATCTACCGACCTGACAAAGATCTAAAATATATTCCTTAATACAGGCTACGATATGAAAATGGTATCAGTGTAATATCAGTGGCTAGAATATCATGGTGCAAGCAGGTTTCTGTTAAACTTACAACGTCATAACTATCTAATTCAGCACTGATAAAATCTACTTTGTCTTTAAGACTGCGTACGTTTAGATGTATAATCTTTAAATCTGGACTATGCAAAGGTCCTGGATTCGGATGGATATCACCGCAGCAGAAGAGAAAAAGTAAAACTAAGAATGATAATCGGAAATTATATAAGCAAAGTAACCCAAAATATAGAGAAATGTGTATCATCTTCCCGAAATGATTAGCATGTAGAATAGATTCAAAAACACCCACTATCAGCCTGTATTGAACAACATCAACCGGCATTGACAAAGCAAAGTGATCATGTAATTGTTACAATCGGGTTGGCGGTGAATCTGAGAAGGGATTCATACGTTATATACAACTTAAACAAAATATGATTATGAAAAACGAAAGGAAAAGTGCCCCCCACCCCACACCCGAAAAGAAAAAAACTCCGCAAAATCAATAAAAATAAAAATAAACAAATAAAAACAAACAACCACACACACACACAAGTAACTAAATGTATATTTAGATTAATATATAACCCAGAAAAAATAAAGGAGAGAAAAAAATAAATAAAAAATACATAAACAAATAAACATTAAAACCTAGAGGAATATGAAAATGTGTAATGCTAAAGCACGAAGACACGATAGACTGTACCAACATTACAATGTTCCCCGTTATGCATGCTTTACCTGGGTTACATACGGGTGATCTAAGTTAGAAATATATGACTGATATAAATTCTTTAAACACGGTTATATCGAATATGCTTGGATTATGTTTTTTTTCAAATGTGCTCCATTCAAGAAAAGTTATATAGAATAACGGAGAATTGCGGTGCCTTACACAACTGGGCCACCCGTGCCCCTACTGAACGGAAAAGACATTATCAGAGGTTATTCACGGGAAGTATGTTACCACACAATTACAGCACATTGGAACACTTGACGAACGACGGCATACTGAAAACAGGATAACAGTGGACACGTCCTCAATATAACGATTTTATAATAAATATGGTTTAATGACAAGGACACAATTTTCTCGTGTGTCTGCCGTTAGCGTCAAGAACTACCCTTGGATGAACTGAGAATCACAAGTGGCCTGTAGTTTATGTGAAGCTGTTGCAGTGGGTGTGGTTCAGGATGACCCTGTCGCACCAATGGTCAAACTCGCTCCATGGGTGCCCTGTCGGTTAAAAAAATCCAGCAATACAGAGACGGGGTGAGCTGCTATTGTAACGTGTTCTGTCGGGTCTAGCATTGTGTTGAAAGATGACGCTAGCATGGTTCATAACGGGAAAGTGCACTGCAAACACGAATATGGTCATTGAACGAAAAAAACGACGTTTTTGGAGGCTTTCTCACTTTCGCTTTCTCGTTTTCCCTACAAATAACGTCGTTATTTGACATCGGAAATTACTGCGAGACAATGATGTTATCAAGCTCGTCATCCCCTTTCTTGACGTTGTCAATCAAGCAACAGCGTCTACCGGCGTGTCTATTTCTCTGATTTCATTGGTCAGTTCTCGCGCGTTAGATTACAAGTCTAAGCGCTGAGCGGAAGTGCTGAATTCAACCGCTCTACGCATGCGGATTGTTTAATACCTTGTCCATGCCTTTCTGTGCATGCGCGAGTTCGCGAATCGTTTACTAGACTAAGAGTCCTCACCACTAGATAGTGAGTCATAAACACATGCTCATGATCTGGTTGGAATCGTACATTGAATCTGCTTTTGGAATTTCTTTTGTCACTTTTATTTACATCACTCACGTGATCTAACACGTAGCAACTGCTGTAAACTGTCACGCGCATTTCTCATTAACTGACAGTTTGATAACAATGAGAATATTTGTCAATATGATTAGGAAAGCGCAATGCCCAGGAACGCCTAAAGTGTAGGAAATAGATTATCACTAATATCAAACTGGAAATAAAAAAAAATGCAAGCTTTCACAACTCATCTTTGTAAAAGGTGACCTTGGTATATATTGCCAGATAATATATATATAGACATGGGTTTCTCATATTGTTTGGAATTGAGGTATGTCTATTCATAATTTTCAGGTTCTTCCACCCTGTAATTGTCATATCACCTGAGTACATTCATCCAGGATTCCCCTTTTTCATTGGAACATGACACTTACCGTCAACTCTATGTTGCGATCTGCGTAATATTATAATGAAGTAGACAATGTTCTGGTATTGGAGGGGCGGTCGGGTAGCCTAGTGGTTAAAGCGTTCGCTCGTCACGCCGAAGACCCGGGTTCGATTCCTGACATGGGTACAATGTGTGAAGCCCATTTCTGGTGTGACCCGCCGAGGTATGGCTGGAATATTGCTAAAAGCGGCGTAAAACCATACTCACTCACTCACTCACTGGTATTGGAAACATATTACATTCCGAACTGATTGCGTCTACTCCATGGATATCCAGGCCACCTAAACCCATACAGACAGGGAGCCCAAGGATTATTGTACCTTACATATTAACAACTGATATGTACTGCTAAGTCCTATTTATGTCACGTAATATATGTCAGATATACATTTACACCTGTTACCGTTCCAAAGCCATCCTCTCATATTACCTGCATATTTTCTGTTGTATCAAATTTTAATCAACAATATCAAGAGCAGCAATTTAAACTGATGAAACACAAGGCTGTTGTCATGCAACTTGTGACGGATCGTAAAAACATATACATATACAAAATACATGTATGTGTATATTGTCTCTGGTAAAATCGATGACTTCAGAAACACATTTTCATGCAGATATATTTAATAAAGATATAGAGGATATTTCATAAGTCGAGTGAAATATCATGTCTCTCTCATCGAGTGACGTCACGGGATGAGAGAAACATGATATTTCACTCGACATATGGAATATCCTATTTATAATATACTTTTCGTGTAGATGTCTAGGGGAAATTAATTATTTCATTAAAACTGTAAAACCTTTAAACGTAGGTTTTAACTACCTAACACACAGGGGCGGTTCACCACCCTTGTGTTTGCGATCTTAAAAGTAGTTTCGTGCAAAATTTTACACAATAAAAACAAAAGTATAAAAAAAATATTAGGGTCACGAAAATTCTGAATCATACCTTTAGATATGATTATATACAAAATCAACTTCAACAAAAAATATTCTTGAAACTAGGAGACCGGTGTTGGAAGCGAAAGAATACACGCTGGTTAAAAAACAGAAATGGCGAAACGAACAGTCTCGATTGGCGAGTTAAATGAGAAATTTACAAATTTGTGTTTTATAAAGAAACATTTTCGAGAAAATAACAAATTGCAAGAAGTGATATTAACTCCGTAAATGACCATTGTTTTGCTTTGTCAAGGTAAAAAGGACGGCAACAGTTTGATGTACGGGCTAGACACTTACGATAAAGGGAGACAGTTTAGTGTTATATTCACTGCAGTGAAATATCAAGTGTTAAACACTAAAGTATATAAAAAAACGTTTAGTCTCTGGTAGATAATATCAATCATACAAATGTCTTGCATTTGAATGTTTATACTGAGGACAAGAACATATGTTCAATATCAATTTACTTTTGCCTTTAAGAAATAACATTTATGCACAATTATTAGTAACATTCATCAGTTATGCTCGTATCCTTATAACCTTGTTTTCACATATACATATAGCATATGTTAAGTTGAGTAGACCTCCAGATGGTTGAGGAAACGGCGTACATACAGCTTTATCTGTTGGAACGGTTCGCCAGAAAGGAGTCAGAAGAGATAGCGTTCATAAGATACACACTCATAATATGAATTGTTCTGAGTTCTGTCAGAAGCTGTTCGTAAGATTTGTTGTACATATACTACATTTTATCAACCGATTAAGTGGATACGTTAAATTTCAACACATCTACAATCTATCTGTTTTTAACTGGATTAATCAGAAAGAATTAGCATGAGTATATTTAAAAGAATATTTTCATCATACCAGTAGAGCTACGGCTCATAAAGCCTTAGTTATTACGTGTTCACCAATAACAATCACGATGAACATTCAATTCCCCATACAAGTAAATGAATGAGTGTCTCTCTTCTCTCTCTGTGGAACGAACAGAAGATCTCCTACACCGACATTATCAAGGGCATTATTCAATTGATCTAATACTCTTTGAATATTTACAGGAACTCCAAGAACATCTCAAGTTCCTGGACCACATGACGCTGGAGGAGGAGGGTGAGTTTCTATAGCAACTCCTAAGTGCAACTCTCATTGGGCGTGCTTGCTCAAACATCTGTCACCCATATTGTCCAGCATTTTGCATACACACTCTTAGCAACTCACCCTTGTCAGATTGAACATGAGACATGTTTTTTTGTGGGTGTTGTAGGGAACAGAAGCCATCATTCACATTTTAAAACAAAAACTCTTACAAGCAGCCATACACACACACACACACACACACACACACACACACACACACACACACACACACACACACACACACACACACACACACACACACACACACACACACACACTCTCTCTCTCTCTCTCTCTTCTCTCTCTCTCTCTCTCTCTCTCTCTCTCTTTCGTGATGATAAATTTGATTTCAAAAGACACTCGGGTGAGATTCTATATATAGACATAGCTAATTGAAATTTAGCAAACTCAACCGATACTGTAAACTTGACAAATAAGGAACTTTTCGAGGTTGATGTTTACGTCAATTTAAACATAGTCTGCTGGCTCTGAAAAGGATGATATGGACGAACGCCTAAAGCATTTTTTGGATAAATTTTATGATATTTAAAACATTTTTATTGGTTTAATATCACTTATGTCTAGAGGTTCCTTTTCAGCTGTGAAGAACGATGGCTTCGGTGAAGACAAATTCTTTCAATGTATCGTGGCCGAAGAGAAACCGTCGGGAGAAGGTGAGAAAGAGTTTATTTTCATATTTAGCTGAGATTTTTCTTTATTGCACATTTCAAACTATGGTTAGAATGTTAACAGGTTCTCACTCTTCACTAAAACATAACTGTACAAATATGGGTGATTGTAAAACAGAACAATGGAAACAGGAGTATAATAAAGCATTTTTTCAAATAAAAGACATTTTTTTACAAAACCCAAATGTGAAGTTTATTTAAAATTGACAGAAAACTAGTCGTCTGTTTGTACTCAAAACTACTGGAGGAATATACTTTTCAATTACAAAGATTTTGAATGAAGGTACATACATAACTTGAGATGTAAACGTACGAACTTGGTGGGGCGGTTGCCTTGGCCGATAGGCCACGTCTAGCCGTACAATCCGTGTCAGTCCCACGTACATGTATATACATAAGACCCGACAACATCAGGAAAATTTCATTTACATTTATAGAGAGTGGTGGGAATCAAAGATCCTGCCCGGAGGGGGTTTGTGATTAGAGGGAATACGCTGAATGTATACATTAAACAGACAAAGGAGATAAAATGTCTGTACACTTTGGAATTAGGTAGTTTGGATAAATAAAATTTATAAGACCTATTTAAGTGGTTTGCACTATAACAATATCCCAGAACGTTGTGGAGCTTTTGTCCTCAAAAACATTTTAAAATTAATGACAATGTTGAACGTATAAGTATACATTACACCTGTGTCGGTCACACGAGATACTGAGTTCAGCGTAACCTTTTGGCCTTATTTGACATGACAATGAACAGTTGTCATTGCCTTTGTACAACGACTACATGTGACTATCGAGCTCCACAATTTCATATTTGTATCTATGATATCAAACTAAATGTATCGACTTTATTAGGTACAAAAAAATTACTAAAGATCTATCTGTGCGTTTCTTTTTTAAGAGTGAATGTAGATGACATTATCATAGTTTCTAAAACGTTTCAAAACATTTGAATCACCACAAGACAGTATCCTAAAAGGCCAAAGAAGAAGGACTCACTCTAAAACCAAGCAAAAGTATATTTGTGTTAAAACAAAGGTTACCTACTTAGGGCATATCTTCGGCATATCTTCAGCAATCTATGTCAATCCTTCAAAAATAGATTTACTAACACAGATTCCACCCCCTAACAATGTCCATGACGGGGGTTATTTCTTAGGTATGGCCTCGTATTATCGCAAATTTGTAGCACGCTTTTCTGGCATCTGGCAACCTTCTGAAAAAAGGCAAGCCTTTCAAATGGTCCAATAATTGTCAACAGGCATTACAAAAAGTCAAGGCAAGCCCTTGTAACAGCCCCCACTCTTGCATACACCACACCAAACCCTTTATCCGCACAACTGATGCATCTCAAACTACAACAGGGTACATTTTATGCCAACTTGATTCTCATGGCATAACTTCTAATGATGTTGAAAATACATGTAAATTCAAAATCCTTGACATTGGACCTGTTTTGATTTAAGGAACAAATAATCCTGGTTGGCGAGTTTTCTTTTCCTCGGCAGTTTAGGTATATATATATTCATAGATATAAATATATATAAATTTGATTCGCTGTGCACAGTTGCGTCCCTTGGCATGGGCACGCGAGAAACCTATGATTGTGGGCTCGAACCCCGGTTCGGCGCGATTATGTTTCTAGGTTTGTCAGCACCATACCCGTGCTCGTGGGTTTCACCGAATCGGTAAACGGCTGAGGCCTGCATCACTTCGGGCTTCCTCCCGCCGTGATGTACCTGAAATACTGTTAAATGCGGCGTTAAACCCAACTCACTCACTCACTATATATCAGTGTTTACAAGGTCACCGTTTGAAAAGGTGTAATGTTGGATTACACCCTTTCCATGTAATGATCTGAATCTAGCCTCAGTATTCCTAGGTTAGTATTCTTAGATTTCCGATGTGTCTGTTTACACACACACATTTGACTTGAACTTACCATCTTATGGTTTCAATTGTTTTTAGGTTAATGTGACTATACTATGATGGAGACAATGTTCAGAGGAATGCAAAATAGTAATGAAACTCATATCATGCAAGTGTTGGGTTGTATGTTCTTAAAGTTTATGCAACATGATTTGTAGCTGGTTCAGCAAATCAAGTTTCGTTATCTACCTCTGAGGAAAGGTGAGCTTCAGTACCTTTGGTTCTCTAGTTTACAATATGTTCACAGTAAATATGATTGCTGATATCAAACAGTGTTAACTTAAGTTGTTTTAAGGCTGCATTGAGTAAAACCCTTGAGATTAAATATCAATCTGAAGTTTGACGTGGTATCAAAGTCTACCTGACTTATCACTGTCCTATTTCTGGTGTTCCCCACCGTGATATTGCTGGAATATTAAATAAAAGCGGCTTAAAACCATACTCACTCACTCACTCACTCACACTCTTCTCACAACAGTGTAACCCGTCAACCTGTTTACAGATATATGCATACCACTCATCTGTGGGGATCTTTCAACGAGAAATATATCTTTAGATGTTATGTTATTACTCGGAACATTGCCTCCTTGTCCGAAATCTTTATCTTATTCAAAACATGTTTTACGCGGCGTTATTTGTTTTCTCACCGACGTTTCACGTGAGCCCAGCTTTGGTATTGTGCAACTTGAGTGTTGACTATTTCGTCCTTGATAAACACTAGGCATCCGTGATATTGCTGGACTATGCTCACTCAATCACGCCTTTGTATCACTTTCATATCACTGCATAATTGTTATACTTTGCCTGATTTCAGCTGAGCCAGCACTGGTAGGGTACTTGTTGTACTGCTGGTCGTACACCACCTCCGCAGGCCGAATGATGGTTGTACAGGATTTTTATGTTCGTCAAACCTACAGGTCGCAAGGGACGGGCTCGGCACTGTGGGCCCATGCCACCAAGGTAACAGTAATGGCAGACACCTTCAATTTCAACACCGTACTGCATCCGTGACGTGTTACACAGTTATTGTGAGTAAATAATCAACAGTGACTGGAATGTACGCACACGCAGGTACAAATTGCTATGAAATTATCCCAGCCGCAGATACTGACCCATCAAATTGGGAGGTGTTCATGGCTCTGTATTCTATGTACTGCGATTTGCAGAGTTGCGTTCTTTTGTCCATCACCCTACGAGTGAGTGAGTGAGTGAGTGAGTGAGTGAGTCTGTCCCAGATTCACCTTTATTATAAACGATGTTTGGTTTGTCACCATAACCAAGGACGCGGATAAACGTCGAAAACATAATCAGCCTAGGCTCAAGTAGATATCTGGGATGAATTCATGTATCAGATCAAAAATCGCGTACGTATTCAAAACGACTCCAAGAAGACAATGAAGCCATAAAATGCAATACAGCTTACTCACTTTAACTGTAGACATACTTGGGGCGGTCGGGTAGCCTAGTGGTTAAAGCGTTCTCTCGTCACGCCAAAGAACCGAGTTCGATTCCCGACATGGGTACAATGTGTGAAGCCCATTTCTGGTGTCCCCCGCCGTGATATTGCTGGAATATTGCTAAAGACGGCGTAAAACCATACTCACTTACTGACTGTTGACACACTGCTGAATGATATGTGTATTATCTCAGTGTGCTTCATGAACTATGCCCCCACTATCTCTGCATTGTGTTTTCTCAGCGATAAGCTAACACAAATGTCAACACTTTATTCCTAATGTACCACCTAACATACGATGTCATGACATGGAAGGGGAAGGTCAACTCTAACATTTATCATTATAAGGTTGAACTTTTTCTTTGGTAAGTTGCATGGTCACTAGTGTTATCACTTCAGTGATTTCACATCGTGCCAGCTTATTGTGGAGGAAAGCAAACAATGTGCAAATATTGTACAAATGTTTAACACTTTCTATGATTAGTTAAATCCACTGACGTGAATAAGAATAATTCCAGGAAATAAAGCAGTCTGTTTCAGTTATTTATATATGGCTATTTCCCCCTTGGTATTTATTTGATTCGGGTTATTAAGGTCGCAGTGAAGCAGGGACATAGGATCTCTGGGCATCGTGCTTGACTTGTTAACATCATAATGTCTTCTTCATCCTTCAGGTTGCCCTAGAGAAGGGATGCAGGAAAGTAGAGTGGATAGTCCACGATTGGAACGTAAAGGCAATAAAGTTCTACAAGAAGTTGGGAGGTGTGGATATGTCTAAGGGCGAAGGTTGGCTGGTGTACAGGCTTGATGTTAATGCCATGAGATCTGTAGTAGCCACAGACACAGTAAACAAACAGTAACGTGCAGACAGAACACCCCCTTCAGGAATTCCGTGTTCAGTCATGTGTGGAGTGACGAATGTACCTTACACACATCGTTCACAGTGTGTTGAACAGGTTCATGTGTGGTGTTACTCTTCGTATAGACGTGTTGGGGGAGCACATTAGACAGTACATCAGTAAGCGTTAAATTAATGCAACAATGATTTGTAAATATATGTAGAGGCTGGATATTTTGCCCCAGTTCTGAATACCTGGCTTTTTACAAATTGTAAAATAGGGGGCTCAAGGTACGGATTCTATGGATTCCACAGTAACAGCTTTTAGCCAATCACCTGGGGCCATGTGGTCACATGACAAGGACATGTTTACATCCGGTGCAGCCATTTTGTAATGCAACCGGAAGAGTGCTGAAGAGTGCTGAGGATAGCTGAACATAACCAAAAGATAAGATGTGCATCCCAGTGCAGAGGTCAAGAGTCGCCAGTGGGTGGGTTTGCCACTAAATACTTTCAGATTGTACCAGGGTGCATTGATTGAGCACATGGTTTAGAAACAAAGACAATGATACTGCCACGTTTGAAGTTAGAGTGAAATGGCAACAGAATTTTGTTGTAAACAGCAACAACAATTTGAAATAAGTGGAACTTTGAATTCAGCAGATGTACTTTCAAACACAAAGTTTACTTTGTTGAAGTTGATGTAAAACAAGACAATAGATAAATCCCATTTATTCTTGCCATTGTGTGCACTTTTGGACAGACGCAGATGAGTGACATTTGTCAGTTTGGCACAGCAAGAATGGCTGACCACAGTGACCAAACACTTGTTAATGAAATCACAAGTCTTACTCATGCTAACGAAATACATATGCATTGGAATTACCTACAATTGCATTCTATAGGCCTAGTTGCAGTCTGGGTGAACTGGTGCTCTTACCTAAAACAAAATCCACATACAAGGATGGAGATGTAATGCCAAGGCAGAGCATACAGAAATTGGCTGCTGAAACATTTAGAGGTTCCATGGTGGCCCTGGCCCATGTCATGTGACCATATACCCCCATGCTATTGGCTAAAAGCTGTTGCTATGGAACCTATGAGAGCAGTAAAGTAGTCAAGGTGCGGGATGGTCCAGTTACTCTGGACAGGGAACTGGGGAACAATATCCAGCCTTTACACTTAGAAGCAGAGTTCATTATACGACTAACCTACCTTCATACTGAGGATAGTAAATTACTATCAGTTCAATTCAATCCAATTCAATTCAATTCAATTTAGTGGTTTATTGCTTGAAAGTCCACTGGCCCATTTACACATGAGCTACATGGACATGAAGTTGATTAACAAATATTGTTGTACACAGAGTATCAATACAACAACTGACGTAACATGAATGTATGATGACTGTATAAAGATACTTGCTATTGAACGTTGTACTTTTTGTTTGACAACATGCATGCAAAGAAAGAAGATATACATGACCATGACAGGGCAGATAAACATAAAATGAAATTCCTCTTTAAAACCAAGGTTACTGATAGGGCAAATTCATAGGGACTTTTCAATATTTAAATAGCTTCCTTTATTCCTGCTTGGATCCCTCACACCAAGTTGTGTTATACCGAACTGCTGACATGTAATTAGAGCCCTTATCTGACTGAATAGTCCTAGGCCAACCAACCATGGTGAAAAACTTTACCAAAGCCTTGATAAACCTCATTTGAACTGCCGCCTTTAGCTGACACAAAACCTCTACTAAGAAATGGTTCTCCTCTCTCATAACAACAACTTTGATGACTGGTCTACGGCAACTAACTCCTCATTAGCAGAACCACAGAAAGACTGTGACCTGAAATTCACAGAGGCATTCAGGGAGGAATGAGCTTTCAACACTCAGAAATGGTATGCCCTGGCTTGCGGCAATATCTATAAGTAGGCTCTGACGAAAATCACGAAGTATTTTTAGAACAAACTGGAGTAGAAGTTGACTTTTTGTCAACAAACTCAGAACCAGACTTGTTAAAACTAAATCGTGAAGGGATGATTTATCAGGAACCAATTAATAAAATTGGTGTAAAGCACAGACAAAACAAGCCATCATCGCCACCCTCACCCGACGTGCCAATTCCCGGATGCCCTCAGCAGTGAACTGGACCACCTCAAGGAAATCTTCACCACCCTCAACAGCTGTCCTGCCCACCTAGTCTCCATACCATCCGCAAGACCCTCAAGAACACCGACCCCGGGCCCAAGCACCATCTCCATCGCCCATCAGAATCACCATACCCTACCAAGGTAGATTTCCCGCCTCATCAAGAACAAAGCCCACATAGATGTCACCTTCTCTAGCGGCAGGTCCATCAAGACCCATCTACAAGCCAATGGCAGAGGCACAAGCAGCATAAGTTCCAACCCCCGAGGATATATATACCAGATTCCCTGCAACTGTGGCCACAAGAACATTGGAGAAACCCTCAGACCCCTCAACACCAATCTCAAAGAACATCAGCCCTCTGTTAACAAACTCGACCTGAAATCCGCTATTTCCGAACACATCCTGGAGAACCAAGACAATAACATCATGCGGGAAGCCACCAAAGTCCTGTCTACCAACAACAACAACTGGCGACAAAGAAAACTACAAGAAGCCATTGACATCAGGAGACACCAGCCAGCCATGAACCGTGAACAGGGAACCTATTTGCGAGGTGCTTGGGACTTATTGCTTTGATCTTTGCCGGTGCAATTAACTAGCTGGCTTCCACTTGCCCATTGCTATGTCCATCCTTTCACCTATTAGAGCTAATTACCCCCGGCCTCCAGTTTGCCCATTGTCCATTGCCTATTACTTATCTATGATACTTAAGTTCTGGCTTATTACTATAAAGTGTTGACTTCCATTGCCTATTGCTAATTACCTATCAGCGCCAATCATCTGTTGGCTTCCCTTGTTAGTTTCTATCCTTTGTTATTTTCCACGTTTTGTTATCTTATTAATTTTGTTGTCCTTACATGTACATATATATATACTCTCTGCCCCATGGCATTCATTTACTTAAATGAACACCAAATAAACAATCTTAAACAAAACTGTAAAAAATCAAATATCTTCACCCCAAAACTTAAAACACCCAAAATAGACATAACACTAGCTAGCACAATAAATAAACAAACCTACCCAAACATAGCCAAAACCACCACACTAGCACACATACATGAAAATTGGTCAAATTGGTGTCACATTTACACAGACGGATCCTCAGATCCGATCTCCAAACACACAGGTTTCGGAGTCCACATCACACAACCAACTAAAGCCACGCAATCCTACCGACTCCCAAACAATCAATCAATATTCACGGCCGAACTAATGGGCATGGCCTCAGCCCTTCATAATCAACAATCTAAAAAACAACAAAAAATCCTAATACTTACCGACTCGCTCAGTGGACTACAAGCCCTCCAAAATAAAAACACCAAAAACCGCCCTGAAGTAATAAATCAGATACTAAAAAGCTCAAACGATTTAACTAAGGCAGGCAAACAAATAGTATTCATTTGGATCCCCGCCCACGTAGGAATATACGGCAATGAAAACGCTGACAAAGCAGCTAAACTATCCCTTAAAATCCCAGAAATAAGCTTAAACCTACCCATCTCCAAATCAGAAATTAAAAGTGTTAACAAACAAAAAATCACCAAAAAATGGCATAACCTATATCAAAACTCAAATAGCCAAATCAAAAAGGTTCTCAAAAAACCCCTAACCAAACCAAAAATTCTACATCCGTCCAAAAAAATTGACAGAGTAATTACTAAACTCCAAACAGGACATACCAACCTAAATAACCACCTCAAAATAATAAGAAAACACGCAACAGGAACCTGCCCACATTGCAAACAACAAGAAACCCCAGAACACGCACTCATACACTGCACCCACTACCTAACACACCGAACTACACTACAAACCACCCTAAATCTAAATAAGGCTCTTACTCTAGAAGCAATCCTAAACCCACTAAATAAAATAGAAAAATTCAAAGCCTTAGGCGTATACTTAATCAAAACAGGACTAATAAATCGCATTTAAAACCCCAATAAACTACCGAAACCAGACCACATAATCAAACTAACAAACTTCCATACTCAGGTCCCTTAGTTCGTCCCCCCAAACCCTCTTGGCATTTTTTCAAAATTTCAAAATTTCCAAAATTCTATATAAGCAACCACTAAAACACCCCTACTGGATTGCCAAACAACTTTTTCCCCTTTTCGGAAACACATTAAATGGCTTGGCCGGGCCCGTGTGCGAAATACGCTGCAGTCGGAAAGCGCACGTAAAATCTCCAATATAAGTAAGTAAGTAAGTATGGCATTCATTCACATTCTCTTCCTCATGTGTATCACTTCTAAATGCCTTTCAAAGACCCAATTATTAAGGCTTCAAAACTTCATCCTTAACAACCTGATAATTTAAAATCCTATGAATGGATAAGGCAGAATAAACTTCCTTAGCATTTCCCCTAAACACACTTTGTAAGAACATGCCAAAACTGTTACAAACTGTCAGCCACCTTTTCAAAATGTAAGACAAATTCCTCAACATAAAGTTCATAGGAGGTCGGAACAAGTCTAGTCTGCTTGTAAAGATCAAGCGACCCATCACCTCTTGAGGTACGGCGAGAGAGATTATTCTGTAATACAAGTTGTTTTAGCTTAATTTCTTTTTCAGCTTACAAGCTCAATTTTTCATTATCAGCTTCAATTCTGAAGATTTCATTCTCAGTTTCAATTCCCAACTTTTATTTTTATTTCTTTTTTTTCTGCTTCCATTTCTCTAAGCCAAGTTTCTTTTTCCATAGCCAATTTTTCTCTTACCATTTCTAGTCTCTTTAAAGGTAAAATATCAGTTTTTTCTGCATTCAAAGCAAAAGCATCTTCTGAGAAATTGTCTTCCTCAAACAGGTGTGTCTAAATATTTTTTTCTTGAAATTGGCCTTAACCCTACATGGTTTGATGTCAAGCTTTAAACATTTGGCCAATTCGACCAGTTAAAACTTTTTGAGCACAGAGACTTTGTTCCGTAGAAGGTTGGATCAAGTTGGATTATTGTGGCAGAATCTCTGACACAGACAGTTCAACATATGGTCACCCAAACGCTGACCTCATACTCAGGTACTTTCTTGAAGCAAACGTAAATGTGATTTTGATATATATTCACCTCGATCCTTCTCCCACCCCCAACCTTCCAAAGTCAGGCACATATCATCTACAGCTGTAGACGCCACCCACAGCGCCACCAACACCCACACGTACACACACACACACATACGCACAGACACAGACATACACACTGACACACACAGACACACACACACAGAGACACACAGGAAGCCATACACATTGACACACATAGACACACCTAGGCACACAGACACAGGCAGAGACACACACAGTGACACTCACAATTAAATAGAGCAGCATTAACGATACAATAATAAACAAGTTTGTAAAATGTTGTCTGACGTTTAGAAATGATATGTATGTGAACGTCAGAAGGCTGCATTCTACCACTTTCCTGTAGTTTCCTTGAATCAATACATAAATATGTAAATTGACACCAGTCCCAATTCTGAAGGCAACATTCAACCACTTTCCTGTAGTTTCCTTGAATCAATAGATAAATATGTATATTAACGTCAGTCCCAATTCTGAGGGCTGCATTCTACCACTTTCCTGTAGTTTCCTCGAATCAATACATAAATATGTAAATGAACGTCAGTCCCTATTTTGAGGGCTGCATTCTACCACTTTCCTGTAGTTTCCTTGAATCAATACATAAATATGTATATTAACGCCAGTCCCAATTCTGAAGGCTACATTCAACCACTTCCCTGTAGTTTCCTTGAATCAATGCATAAATATGTATATTAAGGCCAGTCCCAATTCTGAAGGCTACATTCAACCACTTCCCGGTAGTTTCCTTGAATCAATGCATACATATGTATATTAACGCCAGTCCCAATTCTGAAGGCTACATTCAACCACTTTCCTGTAGTTTCCCTGAATCAATACATAAATATGTAAATTAACGCCAGTCCCAATTCTGAAGGCTGCATCCTACCACTTTCCTGTAGTTTCCTTGAATCAATGCATAAATATGTGTATGAACGCCAGTCCCAATTCTGAAGGCTGCATCCTACCACTTTCCTGTAGTTTCCTTGAATCAATGCATAAATATGTATATTAACGCCGGTCCCCAGCCTGAAATCTGCATTCAGCCACTTTCCTGTAGTTTTCTTGAGTCAATACATAAATATGTGTATGAACGTCAGTCCCCATGCTGAAGGCTGCATTCAACCCCTTTCCTGTAGTTTCCTTGAATCAATACATATATAGAGATTACTACACGAGTGTCTATCAGAT